CGACACTGAGGAAATGACACTGAGCCTGAGGGCACAGCTGCCACACTTTTGGCTCAGAAACTTTCCTCTCAAAATTTAGGAGTAAAAGTGACAATTTANGTACACATTGATGGCCTAAGACACGAAACAAGTGGTTTGTGTGAAAAAAACGAACAATATTTAATATTCTCACACAAACCGCTCATTCGCTCATATCCTTTAACTATCTTTTAGAGCATCTCTAGATTTCAATTTCATTTCTCAAAATGAGTTTTGCCACCTATTGAGCCAGAAATCTCCCCTTCATTACAGCACTTGTACACCAAACTTTACAGTTTTATTTTTATGTTTATGCTAAAGGTTTTAGATGGGTTTGTTCATATATAATTTTTAAGTTTATACAAAATTTTATTCCTAAACAAATGGTGATTTTTATTTTTGGCTTTGACACAATTTTCTGATTTGTAGAGTAATAGAGAGATCCAAATTCCTCTCCTTTCTTTTTTTTCTTGATTTTTGTTATAGAAATGTATGCAAATTAGAACATATTTAATTTGATAGTGCCTCATTTGCATATTTAAAGAGGCTACATGCGTTTCCTGAAATTTAAACTGGCGACTGACACCTGTGGCCAAAAAACAGAACTGCTCTTCCTTTCTGCTAGGTCTTGCAACGCGCGCTTTTACGTGCACACTTCACTAGTCGTCTGCTGCAAGGAGGTCAATGTTTACAGAGGTAAGAACATTGTTTGAGATAAAGTGTTCTGCTTGCGAGTGTAGGCTACTTGCTGTCTAGTGGTGGTGGCAGAGTGATCTGAAACGTTTAACATGAACGCGCTTGACGTCACATCCGCAGACAACACGGGAAAAGTCCGACCCGACAGAAAATAGGAAAAATAGGATACAGGCTTATAGGTGCACCCACTGTGAGCGGACAAGATGTCAGTATGCTCATCAGGAGATGTTTTAGTCATAAATGGAAAATAAAAAGGGTATTGTTACGTTTATTTTGGGGAAAAGGTGCATATAGCCTCTTTAAACATTTCAGAAAGCTTGTAATACAAATTTGTTTTTCAATTATCAATGTATCAATCAACTGGTAAAGTATGGTGATATCTATTAGTTATTTTTACACTATTCATCTTGCCTTAATACTGAGTGAAATTTGTTTCTACACCTTTTTTGTCCCATTGAGTCTTCTGGAGCAACATTCATTTGTCTTGAAATGATCAGTATGAGGGCGCCAAATAAGATCATTACCCTTGAGAACGAATCCTGTTTGTTTATTCCTGCCAAGTTCTTCAGCTCAAGGAGAGTTGACAGGTCAGAATCACATGAAGTGCGCTGCATGGAGCGACGTGTATTGCCTGGGTGATCGAATTTTAGGATTGTGCTTATATCGATTCTTTTACTGCCTTTCTGAGCTTAAGCGGTTTTCTTGAATGTGGTCTGGCCCGGTGTATATCTGTCACAGCCTATACATTCTCTGGTCCCTTTTTATATATGATGGCCTGATTTTGTTCCTTATCTCTTATGCGTTTGGGGAGGAATGGTGGGAAGACAGTGGGAGGATGGGCTGCTATATGGTTGGATGGCGGAGAGGGGGAGGGTTGGATTAAAATCTTGGTTGAAAACATCCGCATTAAAAAACAGAAGCAATGAAATAAACATCCCACCACCAAATGAGAAGGCAAGTGGAGATAGGAGAGAGAGAGAAAATGTTCTGAAAGATGAGCAGAAATGGGGAAAAGTGAGTGAGAGTGAAGTGAAATGAACTGAAAACCGGACTTTGACTCTGTGGCGGGAAAAAACAAACTGGTGATAAGATTCTGCCAACAAAATGAGTTTAGAACAACAAAATTCTCCATCAAACCACAAAGAGAGAGCGAGATAAAGAGAGAAAATGTAATAGTAGCCTTATTGTAGTACATATTTCATGATCTGAAAAGAGACACATATCCACGTACAAAACTAACAGACAAAACATGAGCACATAGGCTTTTCCAGCTTTTTGTGATGACTGAATGTGACTTTTAAAATTCATTTTAAAGAGATTGCGTTCAAAAATCTTTCAGATTTTTAGAGCTTTGTGTAATGTGAAATATTTTACTCACTGTGGAAATATCTAAGGTTTATACATGACTTTTTAAGATTTTATTGATTCCCTTCCATGACTTTTCCAGTCTTGGAAAACAGAATTTGTAAAGTTTCCTGATGTTTACAGGGTTTTATACACTCCAAAAACTCATAGAGTATTTTGATGTCTATCTTTTTCTTGTTTGCCATTTAAAAATTGGCTATAGATGCCCTTGAAAGCAACATTAAATTCCCTGATTTGCAAGAATGTTTTCAAATGCTAAGAATGTTTTCAGTTGGTTTTTTTTTTTTTATTGAAATTTAAATGCAATTTATTGCTGTAATGCAAAGCTGAATTTTCAGCATCACTACAGTCTTCAGTGTATACATGTGTATATACAGTATATATATATATATATATATATATATATATATATATATATATATATATATTTCAAATAAATGTTACTCTTATTCTTTTTAACTTTCATTAAATATTCCTTAAAAAGTAAAATAGTAAACATCACACCCATTTCTAACATTGATAATAATAAGAAATGTAGAGTGATTTCTGAAGGATCATGTGACACTGAAGACTGATGCTGAAAATTCAGCTTTGCATTACAGCAATAAATTGCATTTAAATTTCAATAATAAAAAAAAAACTAACTGAAAATAGTAGTGGAATTTTTACATTGTTACTATATAGTAACAATGTAAAAATTCCACTACTATGAATTCCTACCATCAATTTAATGACTCCAAACTTTTAAGTAGTAGTGTATATTAAATTATAAAATCATTTTACTGGAGAAGACAAAGATATACTGCTTAAGAGTGTTGTTTTTTGTGTGAAATTTTTCATATTATTATTAATACAGTTATTCCAAAATGTGAGAACATGAGACCTACAGTAGATGTGAACAGACAGACCTAGAAGTGCTTCACCTGCAACACATGACCCTGATCTACTGTGATCTACTTTTGACATTTACTTCAGAAAACCAGCAAATCATAGCAAATGTTAAATCTGATTTAATAAAAGATTATAAAATAGTGCAGTCAACAATAAAATGCTCCATCTTCCCCGAAAAGAGGGAGAAAAAGATAGAAAGAGGAAGACAGAGGGGAAACAATAAAGGACTGAGAGCCTGCTTTTAATGATAACACTACATTTGTAATGTACTTTCAGCTTTGCTATTGACGGTGAACAAGGAATAACCTAAATTATGCATGTACAAGGTCGGACTACAGTGGAAAAGAGAAAGAGCAATTCAACTTAAACAGTTCCAAGCCTTTATTTTCACTTTCCCAGCATTTCTCACTTTATATTACAGAGACCCATCTATCTCCAAATGGAGATTGGTCAAAGAGGTTGCATTTCTTCACTGCAGTAAAAGCTTCTTCCTAAACAGTGCTGTAAATATCTCTAGTTTCATCAAAATTCCTTGGAATGACCATGGTGCAATGTTTGAGTCCACATACGAATGTTTTGAATCAGCGTGGAGCCAGATATTGCCTGGTCCCGTTTGCAATGATTGAGAGTGAAAAGGGCGTAGTGCACTTGGCAGCCCCTAACTGAGAAGAGGATGGAATTAAAATCAATACTCTGCATGATGAGGTGACTCAGAAGGTTAAAATAGAACTCGCAACTCTCCAATGGCCACTGCGTAGCTGCTTTAAGATTATTAGCTGTCATCGACAGATGATCTAGTCGTGGGTGTAGATTTAAGTATAGGGATGGTGTTACCAATTTTCAGGAAATCAGAAATGTGGGAAGTTTCAGCCCGGTCTCATCCCAAGGCGTCATCTGACGCTTTTGAAAATGCGTCAACTTCCGACGTACATGGCATCCTTTAGAGTCAATATGAGACGCAGATACATGTGGGCCAGAAGGCGCCTCCTAGTGGTCAAACCATAACCCTACCCCAGACCTAAACCTACCCATAACTGAAGCGTGTTTTATTGATGCTAAAGGGTGCCATGTGCGTCGGATTTAGACGCATTGTCAAAAACGTCAGTTATATGATGCCCTAGGATGAGGATGCATTGGAAGTTTCCCTTTAACAACCAGAGGTGCGTTTGACGTTACTTATACCGTCGCTGAAGAAATCAACTATAGTCACGACTGTTTCCTGAAGCTAAATGGATTACTTTTATGATGGATGGGTGTGCTTTTTCGGGCTTTCAAAATCCATTCACTCCCATTATAAAGCTTGGAAGAGCCTATAACTCCGATTGTGTTTGGCTGAAATAAGACATAGGCTAAGTCATATACACATTGAGGGTGAGCAAATAATGGGATAATGTTCATTTTTGGGTGAACTAACCCTTTAAGTTTGAGGTGGTTGTGCACCTGTCACTCTCTTGCTGATGCACAGTTGAAGCAAATGTTTTTTTTTTTTTTTGTTTGTTTTTTTTCAGTTTCAGCAAACAAGTGGATGTTAATTTCTCTGCCATCATCAATCCCCCTACACATCTTCTTCTGTCTTATATTCTTTTGCACATCTTAGCTTTTTGGCGTTGAAAACTCTCGCTCGCCCCTCCCACTCCTTGCGTTTTCCCCTGAAACCAAGAAACCAGGACAGCTCGGCGCTCGACGGGTTAACGCGCACTCGCGCTCGTGATTGGCTGCGGGAGCGGCGCTTTTAGAGAGAGGTAACCAGGCAACTTCATCTGGAACAGCGGAGAGAAAGAACAGGGTAAAGGGGAAAAGAAGCGCAAAAATCCCATCAGTTTTGGTGAGCGATAGAAAGGATGTAGTCCAGGTCTGTGGCTGTATGTCCCCGGCATGGGAAAGTGGATTACTGCTCTTCTACAGACAGTAGAGACTGGATACGGGGTGATTGCGCGTGGATTTTTATAATGAGAAGTATGGGATCTGAACGCACCAGTTTAAAGGTAAGAGGGTTTGTCTTAAGGATTTGATTCGTGATGACACACGAAAAAAAAGAAGAAGCAAAAAAAAAAAAAAAAAGAGGCACAGGCTTCGGTGCTGTTGCAATGAAACTTGTCCATGTGGAACATGAGGGCATCTGCCTGCGCTTCGGTGATGGAGTTATGTCGGTTGATTGTATTCACGTATCTAAATCAATTGGAGAGATGTGACTAAACAGTTATCCCACATTTGATTTGCGAGGAAATGAGCCGAACCAACTGCCACCAGTTGACGGTGATCATGCGTCCACGCGCGTGTGGAGAGGAGCGGCGTTTGCTGCATTGACAACCATGTTCTGCCCTGCTCGAGAGCGATTGATCAACTGAGATTTACTACAACGCTCCCGTATTTAATACCTTTTCCATTCACCGCGGAGCAGAGGGGTCTTGTAGCTATACACCCAATAAGTGATATTATGCGCGCACTTAATTGAAACTACAGTGAAATATATTCGCTTTTCAGCACGGGTTCAAACGCACGAGTAGCTTACTAGTTCAAGACAAGGTAGCGTAAACTTTCCATGTATTTAAACGTGTTACGAGTGAAGAAGAGTAGATTTCGTTTGTTTGGCTCAGGCAGGATGATCGGTCCGCAGGGGCTCCGCGGCAGCAGAATCCCGCATTAATCGTACTGCCCGTATGTGTGTGTGTGTGTGTGTGTGCGCGCGCGCTCCTGTGCGTGTGACAGGGAACCACCGTCCGGGCGGCGAGAATTCGTTACTCGCACTCTAAGAATCTGTCATCTGACTTGGGGCACCGGCGACCGCGTTAAACGCATCTCTACATGGCGTTTCATGAACGGTTGAGCTACATGAATATGTTCCTTCAGTGTTTGAAGCGGTGGAAACGGGAGCGCGTGAGTATGATGTGCTTTGACAGAGAGCATCCTTTTCTGACTGCCTGCGGACCGCTGCTTGTGGTCGCACTGAGAGGTGTAGTTTCCAAACGAAAAACGTTTTCGAAGTATAAAACGCTTGAAAAGACACCGGATCTCGTCGCGTTGCCTTCACGTGCGGTCCACTAAGCGGAGCTCGGTCTGAAGGACAAAAGCGTCAGTGACTGGAATGTCCGAGGAAGATTTTATGATCTAGTAAAACCTAAAATAACTTACACTGTGGTGACAAGCCAACGGTCTCTGCAAGGGAAGCAAAAGAACAGTTTAACCTAATGTCTTGAGGAACATAAACATGTGGAATGGTTTGTTTTAGCTTTTGGATTAAATGATAGCAAACACCATTAAACACCTCGATTAAAACAACACAAGTCAATGAAAAGTAGCCTACTCATTATGACAGAAAACAATGTTTGACAGTTTCATCATTTACTATCAAAGACTTGTGAAATTCCCGTGGAAAAAAATAAAATAAAAAATGGGAACCTCACAAGTGTACAAAGCAAAGCATCCACTGAACTGTTGTCATCCTTAACCCATTTAATCAAATCAAAGCACCATGCACTCTGTTTTTTTTTCTCTCTGATGATAATTCTGACTCTTACGTGTATCCATTGATGGTTGCAAATTCACAGTCACAAAGGCGTATTGTGTTTCTTTTATATTTGTGTCTGAACTCATCCAGGTGTCAGGTGTTCATTGGTAGCCCCATTGTTTTTAGGTCAGTGGTTAACATGTCACCCATCTTTTTGTGTGGTTCAGCCATCAATTTGTTTTTATTTCCAGCTGAATGCTATTTCATTGTTGTGTTTTCAGGCAGAACTACCATTGTGAATTGTTTATAGTTAAGATTTTATAGATAGATAGATAGATGGATGGATGGATGGATGGATGGATGGATGGATAGACAGACAGACAGGTGATGGATGCCTAGATAGATAGATAGTCAGACAGAATGATAGATAGACAGACAGACAGATATATGGATAGATAGACTGATGGATGGATGGATAGACAGACATACATGTGATGGATGACTAGATAGATAGATAGATAGATAGATAGACAGACAGACAGACAGATGGATAAATATATAGATAGATAGATAGATAGATAGACAGATAGACAGACAGACAGGTGATGGATGCCTAGATAGATAGATAGTCAGACAGAATGATAGACAGACAGACAGACAGACAGATAAATGGATAGATGGATGGATAGACAGACAGACAGACAGACAGGTGATGGATGACTAGATATATAGATAGTCCGACAGACAGGCAGATGGATGGATGGATAAATGGATAGATAGACAGATGGATAGATAGACAGACAGACAGAGAGATGGATAAATGGATAGATAGAGAGATAGACAGACAGACAGACGGATGGATAAACGGATAGATAAACGGATGGATGGATAGATAGACAGACAGACAGACAGGTGATCTATCTATCTATCATCTATCTATCTATCATCTATCTATCTATCTATCTATCTATCTATCTATCTATCTATCTATCTATCTATCTATCTATCTATCTATCTATCTATCACCTGTCTGTCTGTGTCTGTCTGTCTGTCTATCTATCCATCCATCCATCTGTTTATCTCTCCGTTTATCCATCCGTCTTTCTGTCTGTCTGTCTGTCTGTCTGTCTGTCTGTCTGTCTGTCTGTCTGTCTGTCTGTCTGTCTGTCTGTCTGTCTGTCTGTCTATCTATCTATCTATCTATCTATCTATCCATTTATCCATCCGTCTGTCTGTCTGTCTGTCTGTCTGTCTATCTATCCAACAGACAGACAGACAGACAGACAGACAGACAGACAGACAGACAAGTGATTGATGGATAGATCAAACAAGGATACATTAAAAAGGAGGGAAAAAGTTTTTTTTCTGCATAATCAGGTCAGAGTCACTATGCCAACCTGTGCCAGATGGCTCATTCTCCCAACTGCTCATATTACGTCACTGAACTGCTTATAGGTTGCCTTTACCGTGGTAAAGGTGGTCTGTTCAGTGCTCTGGACTTTTCTGTGTGTATAGCAAGTATGCCTTTCCTTTTCTGCCTGAATGGGCCCAGCAGGAAACAGTGCATCTCCATGGAGACGCAACACTGAGTGTGGGAACCCTCAAAGCCAACATTGTTTTGCTCTCTCCTGTGTGTTCATTTATTCATTCTACAAGCTGGGTTTGTTTTGAGGTAATGTAGAACTCAGAGGTAGTAGGGTTCATATCAAGACATGTCTCCTGGGAAACAGCAGGTTTAAGCAAAATTAACAATAATGCATGTTAGTTTGGCCTGCAGAAATGTAATGGCAAACCAAACCAGCTTGCTGTTCTATGTAAATGTCTGTTGAATTCCAGGATTGGTCTGGCACTTATGTAAAGATGTGAGGAATAATGGCCAGAATAGACCTTATTCAGAGCAGCGCCGTGACGGTTATGAAAGTGAAGCTGTGAGGGATAGACTTACATTGTTTTCAGTGGCACCCATGTATAAATCTCATAGATCACCTAATATTTTTTTTCTGGAGTTTTTTGTCTACTGAAGGTTCTCTGAAAGATGTTTTTTTTTGCAGCAGCATAATCGAAAAACACATTAAGATGGCGCATCTGTGAATAAGGTCAATCCTGTAGGACTTTTCCAAAGAAAAAATTTGGGGTCATTATTTCCGAGTGCCACTACATTTAAAGTCCAAGTCACACTTTAGTTTTCTGAGGTGTTTGTTGAAAAGGGCATCTAAGGATGTTTTGGGTTGATGGCATCGCACAAAATGGAGCAGTACGTGTCTTCACCAGGTCAGTAGGTGTTGGGGATTCCTGAAGTAGAGCCGTTCCGTGGGGGATGTCCCTTCTCGGAAATCTGTCCGGCATAGAGACGAGGCATCGACTGCCGTTCCTCGTTCTCAGTATTGATCCCTCTGTTCTGTGTGACATTATCTGCTCCTGCTAATTAGAGCTCGGGAATGGGCTCACCCATCGGATGGCATCCGACACTGAGGAAATGACACTGAGCCTGAGGGCACAACTGCCACACTTTTGGCTCAGAAGCTTTCCTCTCAAAATTTAGGAGTAAAAGTGACAATTAGTGACACTATAATAGGCATAAAATACACATTGATGTTGGGTAAGTGCACACTGAATTATTTTCCTCAATACATTTCATTTTAAAAGCAATTTTCTCTCTACAATAGTGTTGGCATTGTATAGTCTACGTCTTTTTGGCTTTACCGTTGAAAGGGATTATTTGAATGTTTACAGATTGGCCCCTTTCACTTCTGTTATAAGCTCTGTAGCCCTGATTTTTGCTCATTTTAAAATTAAGAACGAGTGGAAACCAAGAACATTACGCCACAAGTGCTCCCTATTGAGCTTAAAGGCGGACTGAAGTGCCTTGGAATGCGCAGCTTTGTCTGATTGATGTCATTTCCACTGAAACAGGAAGCTAAGGCGGGGGCATATTGTATGGCCCCTCCTCCTTTTCAAATAGCCAAAAACGTTTCGTTTACCCAAGGGGGTAATCCATCAGCCAGAAGTTGAAACCTCACGGGAGCCGCCATTGTAGCAGAACTTCACCTGCTGATAGCATTCCATTGACTCCCATTCATTTTGTCGTCACTTTGACAGCGAATAACTTTTCATCTGAGGAGTCCAAAGACTTCGTTTGTCCATTATTTATTTCTAAAGAAACATGACAATGTATAAAAGGCTCACTTACCTTGTATCTTATGTTATGGCCCAGTAGAAGCAGTTTTTGTAAAAAAAGTAGGCTAACGATTGCGTCACAACAAATCGGACAGCAGGAGAAGCTTGCAGGCAATCGGGAGGACGTGGAGGCGATAAAGTCGAGGGAAAAGCCTATAGAGAGTCATAAAGTTGATCCTACTGCTAACTCATGGACAGATAATACACACTCTCTCTATCTCTGTGAGATTCGGAATGGAATTATACAGATTTCAATCGACAATGCTACTAGGTTGCTCACGTGACGGGCTCAGTTTTTACACCTGACTATCAGCTTTTAACTGGCTTGAAATCAATGGGGTCGCTGTGTCCATTTCTTTTACTGTCTATGAGTTTACCACACAGACTGAAAGTCGTACTTGACTGTACCATGGAAGCGAATCCGGGCGCTAATGATTGGATTCAATTAGTAGAGGTGTGAATAAATTCTAGCAATTTCATTCTAAACCAACGTACAGTTGGAAAATGGAATAAAACCAAACACGCACCTCCAACCCATATTGCTCCGTGACGTGTCAACGGTCCGTTTGGCCTGGTGGTATTTATAGCATGGGGGTGGGAAGCTTTAGATTCTAGAGAGTATTTGATTGGAAAGAAGATGTTATGAGATGTTGAAGTCCGCGGTGATATCATAAAAATTCTGTGATCCATTATAGAAGTGAGGGACTGTAAGTTTTGAATGCTCATATCTCCTAAATCTGAATTTTGCCATTGTTCTGAAACACACCAGCTTATTCCTAACCTTTAGGTTAACGTATTCATACTAAAAGCTAAAAAAAAAAAAAAACGTACATTTTGATTCCAGGGGGCCTGAATTATGCCAGGATAATTCCGGTTTTTAACACCTTGAGTCTATTTTGTAGTTTGTTTTGAATGAAATAGAGTGGTGGACTTCAAAATTTTGACATTGGGTCCTGTCTTGGCTTTTTGACTTTTTTTTTTGAATCGCCTGTGACCGCGTTAGACTGGGTGTCTATGGGCATGCACAAACATGTCCATAAAACAACCCTTAACGTTAATTTTCAAAACTGTGCAACTCACCGAGTGGTTGGTGGTGTTCGTTGATGTTCTGAAACAAGTAGCGTAGCGAAATACCGTTTCTGTCGTGTTTTATTTGTCATTTTTAAAAATCGTATTGTTGTCTGCTGGAGGACTCAGTGCTCGTTGATATTACTGCACTAGCCACCGGAAAAGGAAAGGGGTCTGTTTACAT